ATGTATTTACATACCACAGTTTACCTTTGCCTATCTGTCAAATATCTAGTTGAAACAACCCAAGTGAATCATTCTATACTTTCTTTGGTATCTTGTATGACAAACATCAAAAGGATAATTAATATAGAGATTACATGCTTGTTAAAATACCCAAGTAAATTAAACAGAAGTACACATATTTCTGCAAGAAACATAATCCCCTTGATATAGCAGGAGTAACAGACCTGTAAAAGAAACGTTTGGGAGAGCATGATACAGTCAGGAAGTACTTTTCATAACGTACAGACTGTGGCAGTCAATAAAAGAGAAAGCGCCTAGAGACTTAATCACCACTGGGATTATAAAGCAAAGACATGGGGAAAATGGAGGATCTAAAACAACTGTTGGTTCCCATGCAAAGGCACATCAGGACTTCATGTTGCAAAACGTAATCTCCCAGTTTGGTTAAATAAGTGCCAGAAGGCAAGTGCCTTCCTATGAAAATGTTTTCAAAGAACTCAAGTAGCAGATACGATGAAGATAGTTAGCAACTGTAGCAATTTTGGTTCATTTAGTCATTAAACTGGCTATAGCGGCACTGCCAACCTAAACTAGTGCATTCTATGTTTTGTCTAGAAATTAAAACAAGTGGTCATAACACACATTTTATTTCTAGGTGTAATAAAGTCATTACTTCATATTTCATAGCTGTCTCCAAATAATCTGGAAGCATTAAGGTAAGAACAGGGAGTTAGCCTCACAAATTTGCCTCCTGAATTTAGGCTCACGGGAGGCAAATGTATGTCAGATGGAGTAGTTGCTTAGTTTCAGAAATTCAAGTTAAAAATGACTTCTGCCATTTTGTAATACTGAGCTTTTAATGTAAATATTCCATTTTTGAATCTTGCTTCACAGTATCAATCAATTTGGAAAGGTTTTGGTGTACAGCAGAGAGAATGCGCTAACAAATCATACAGCAGAAGGTAAGAGGGGAGACAATTCCTTCTTCGGAGGGAAACTTAATATTTTAGTGTCCCCTGCCCTGTTTTATTCACTACAATTTGTAGTTTTTTCCCTAAAAAGTATTTTCCCCTACTGATTGTTCATTTCTCAGACATTACAGCCCTCTTTCTCCTAAAGCTTTCAACGAGGTCTGATCCATCTGGCAGATTGTATTGTAACCAGCAATGGCAGAAAAACAGAAAAACATTTTGGAGTTAGCTCACTGTAGTCAAAGAGCCAGCAGGGGGAGCACAAGACACTGTTTTTCTGTAGGCGAGGAATTTAATGGCTACTGCTCTTAGAAAGTAAATGGCATTACTCGGTGACTGATAGACTGATTCCAAAGGACTCTCCACATCAGATAATTATAAAATAGATTAAAATGTGGTTGTATAGTACTAGACACTGTCCCTGTATATTTTGCATATTTAAAAAAATTAAATGAAAAAATCAGTACAACACACTTAAGTAATATAATTATTACTAGCCCTGATTTAACATGTCACTTGGGATATTTATATATTCCCAAAGTATCCAGAGTCCTTGAAAACGTACACCTTAAAGAATGTTAAAGACAAGAAACTTATTTCTTCACCAAAACCCCTTGGCTACATCATGTTTATCACATTAAATTATGTAAGGCGATACAGACACCCATGTTTTTGAATCCGTATTTCAGAAGAATATGTTAGAGTAAGCCAAGTGTGATGGTTCTGTATTACCAATTAGTCCCTTCTGATTTTGGACAAGTGAACATTTAGCCAAAATATCCATTTTTCTTCTTTTCTTTGCACTCACAGGGTACTGCCCGTGAGCTGTGCAATTCTTCCTTGAATAAACCTAACTAGGAGTACTGTATAACAGTCTGAAGTCAGTGAGTGGGAAGCTAACATTCTTGGACTTCTTGGTTTAAATATTTACAGTTAAGACCCATTGTCAATTTCAATAGTACCCTACATCTGTAAATCTAAACTGAAACCTGAAAACCCTACCCATGAAATATAGACTAAAAGAGCCATTCAATAATCTTTAACTGCAACTTTAGAGAGTGCTGTAAAAAGTTACATTTGCTCACTTGTACACTCTGTTCACACCAATAAGGAAGCTACACTGAAGTTGATGAAGTAACTCTAATTTACACCAGTTGCGGGTCTTGCCCTAAGTAAATACTACTCCTCAACAAGTTGGGGCTTAAAAAATTCCCAAAAGAAGTGGATTTCAATTTACAGCATGTTACCATAGAAGAATACACAACATTTTAATAGTAACCGGGCTACGATTACATTACATGTCCATTCCTCCAAACACAAGCAATAAGCCTAAATAAGGCAACGCCTTGGAGCATATTTTTTCTGATATTTGTACCTGTTGCCATGAGCACAGAGTAATACTGCTGTCTATGTTGTATGTGAGGCTGGGAGGAGACAAGGCTGTTTCTGAGGGGAGATGGCTGAATTATCCTTCCCACTGGCAAGTAATGCAATGTACTGATACAATGACTCTTTCCACCATTAAACATTGCAGCGAACATCAGTTAAAACTGAGCAAAAAAGAAAGTGATTAATTAGAGGACTATCCCCATGGCTCTGGCATGCCACGCTCCTTAGTGAGGGTTTATAGTGATAATTTATTGATATTTTATCTCTCTGGATCTCTGACAAAGGAGAAAAGGAATAGCTAGGTACCTATGGCTAAAATTAAAACAATGATTTAAATCAGACACTATTACTGTTACATGCCCTAATTAAGTAATCAGATAACTCATAGTCATTCCTTTACAACAGTTTCACAGATATGGAATGGAAACCTCCATTGCTGTATGACTCTATATCTAATCTTGTATCGCCTATTGTATCTAACCATTCCACTGCCATGTGGTTAGAAACTCACTGCTGGTAACTGTATCCGCAGGGGCAATAAGTAAGGTAGAGCTCCTGAAGCAACAAGTCAGTGAACATGGGCCTTTTCTATTGCAAAGACTCAATTACCTGTTCCATATCTACCAAAATGGCTAGATACATTTACAGCCAGATTGCAAAGATCAATACAATATAACATACAAGGCAGCATACATGAAGAGACAATTGTGCAGATGCACCTTCACATGCCAATGCACTTTTGAACAATCACCACATGTAAAGTTGTTTTAAAAGGCAAAGCATCAATATTTGTGTACTGTGGACTGAACCTTGTATAAGAAATTGTAGAGGTTCAAAACTAGAAAGGCCCTGTTCATAGTATGGTCATAGTGGACTGGAAGATACCTTAAAAAATATTGACTTAACATCTTTGGGAGGAATCAAAAACCTGAATATATTTGCCAGCTAAATCAATTATTTTCTGTAGTAAGACACTGGACTTTCTTTAATTCCATGACTTTCTTTTAGAACAACCTCACAATTACCATTTGTCAAGTGCCTTCCTGCCCTTCCTTTTAACAAATTATTGAAAAGCATCCTGTACAGTGAAGCACTCAAGATGCAGATGTAACGCTGACAGACCCCAGTCATTGGCAGGCGTGATCTAACCAGGGGCCCCTAGAGCTTGGTGCATGAGCCTCTACTGCATGAGCTAAAAAGGCAACTGGCTGTTAGCTAAGGCTGTAGAGCAGACTCATTTTATCTCTCTCTTTTTAAGTGGTCTCGGTGCCATTAGATGGGACAGAATACCACACCCAAGGAGGTGTGTGGGTTACACAGATACAGAAAAAAGAGGAAGGACAACCCAGTAGTTAGGACTCTAACCTAGGATTTGGGAAGACTGGATTCAATTCTCTACTTTGGCACTGACTCCCTGTATGACTGGAGCAAGTTAAATCTCTGAGCTACAGTTCCCATTCTGTAAAATGGAGATAATAGCACTTCCCTACCTTAGAGGGGTGTTGTAGGGTAATTACATTAAAGATAGTGAGGTGCTCAAATACCATGGTAATGAGGGCCATATAAACACAATAAATAGATAGACCACTTGCTTCTGTGTTTCCTTTTTAATTACAATCTATTTTGTATGTTACCAACATGTGCAATTAGCAATTTCATTTCTGTGTCAGGGACTCATTGGTTCAGTGCCTATTGATACACAGGTATGGGTGCTGACATTTTACCTAGGGAACAGAACTGCACACATTTTCATTGTATGAAAGTGATAAGCAATAATAGTATTCTTATGGCATACAAAATCAGGTGCCAATAAGGTCAAAGAGCGTGCTTTAAAACGGCATCAAGCAACAAAGGAAACCCAGACCCAAAACAATAAAATACTGAACAAAGAAAAGCAACCAGGATAGAGAGGATACTTATACATTGATTGCGTCATGAAGCAGGTGGATGTTTTTTGTTTGTTTGAAAAAAATCCTAAAATGCAGTTTATTCCCAATTTACTTAAGTCATCTGAAGAAATTCTCTGCTACTTTGAACATGTTAATCTACATTTTTCAGATGGCTCATTGAAATAATCATGTTTCTAGTACAGGAGGAAAAGTATTACTTTTACTGTTTATTAGCTTCACTTATTCACACTGATGACCTGGAGACAGATGACAGATCTCCGATTGTGAAACAGCAAGTAAAAGAATAAATATAATTCAAAAACCCCAAGGTCATCACATCACAAGATGCACTTCGCCCATTTATTTTGATGCATGTAAATTTGTTTTAATTATTTAAATTGTTACATTTAATAAATTTGTTTCAGTATTTGAAAGTATGCTAGTAAATGTTCTGTGGTATATTTTGCAACAGTGATGAGATAGAGTTCTTTCAAATATTGGGAAGAGAAAAAAGCAATACCGTTCTCTTTTAAGTGAAATATACAATGTAAATATCTTAACCATTGATTGTTCTCCCAACCTTATGAGTTCTGCACTACTTTTAAAGTAGCAAGTCAGTAAAATCACTTCAGTGAAGTGCCTGTAACATTGCATCTGCTAGGTTATTGTGCAACATCAAGGAATAAATTTTAGAAATTGATTTCCAGATTTGCACTACCACCTCAATTTCTCACATCAAAACAGGTCTCACCTTTGGCCCATGAGATGATTTCTTCTTCACTTCAGAAGAAGACAGGGAGTAGTTACTGGGAAGGTTGGGGAGATGAAGGCTCTGTCCCGAAGGGACTGATGTGCCATCTGACATTACCATGATCTGTTATGAGAGAGGGAAATTAATGTACTGGTCAAATATTATAAAATACTATGTCAGGAATTAGCAATCATTTTGGGAATGGAGATACTGCAAAATCTCCAATATAAAATGCAATCTTGTTTTCCTCTATAGGTGCTGGATTATTTTAAAAAATTCCCATCCTCCAGGCCAATATGGAAAAATCTGCACACACACAAAAAACCCCTTTAAAAACCTGAAAAGTTTATTCTGCTAGAGTGAGTATTTTTCATACGTAAACCTGATGAAAAAGATCTGATGTCTCTTTTGGTTTGGATTAAAACCCAATTTGTACCCCCAATTCCATGTTCTCTATAACATTCAACACTTTTGAAAGAAATCAGTTTATTCTACTTGAGGCAGAAAGGTCTGCACTTATTGCCATCCCAGTAAGCAATATAAAATGTGAATCAGTCTTTCAGGAGACTTGACTATTGAATAAAGCACTATGATGGAAAATATATGGATGATGAAACTGATGCTGGTTAAATTTAGTACCTGAAAGAGTTAAGTGGCTTGGCTCTAAAATCCTTTAAGGGAGAGAATCCATCTTCCTAGTCACTCAGGCAAGATGCATCCATGCTGACTACTGACATCTGGCCTCATCTTGGAGGGTATATATTATTGGGTAACATGTAATCTATTTGCTAAGCATTGTATGATAAATAGGTAAACCAACCAACCAAACATATGGCAGCATCTTAAGGTACTTTTGCAATGAAGCAACTATGGAGCTAACTGCATTGATGTATCAAAACTATTGGGACACTAATTGACGCAAATGAGGTGTTAAGGGTCAGAACTTTAACTATGGCTAGTTGGAATACTACACCCAGGCTGGGGCTGAAACCTTACAAATATGGTACTGAACATAGATGGGTGGAATGGGAAAAAAGCGTAGAAAAGATGTGGTTATCCATCCTGTCACTGGGACATGGAGGGGACTACATGGAACAACTGGGTGGAAAGCTCTCGTCTTGGGGTGATCTCCACTTACTTTTTCTTCCAGCTTTGCTTCTAAAGGTATCCACCAGGTTATAAGTATGCACAAGGTAACATTGTAAGTATTAACCCTGCAGGAAACCCCTTTACTTACCTTATTATTTTTATACTTATGTATACTGATTTTTTCTATAATTTCAATTACATTTGTCTGTATTAACTAAAGATCAAAGTTTGTGTGCTTCACCAATTTCATCTTCTTAATTAACTCTAAATAGCCACCTGAAAAGGGCCTGTTTTTTGTGACAAGTGCATGTTGCACCCCAATAAACAATTTCTTAATTGTAGTAACTTATCAGGCTACAAGTTCAAGAATGCCAGGATGACATAGAATTATAAGGACATTTCAGTTCTTTTGGAAGCAAAGCCCTAATCAGTCCTTTGAGGACGGTTTTTGTTTTCTGTGGTAAACTATCCCATGTAGGTACACCTGGGATACATCTTTGAGCCCTGAGTGCCCTTCTGCATTGCTGTTAGAATCCCCCAAATGGGTGGCATGGAGGAACTGAGTATGATGCAGGATCGCAAAGCCACACAGATAATTCCTCATGTTTGATAGGTTTTTTTAAAATCTATCCAGATATCCTGATAGCCAATTACTTTATCCAGCTGACTACAAAGAAAGCACAATTATAGTTAATTTTGTCTTCTACCTGAATTTGTATCACACTCCCCACAGTGCTATAATCAGACCACCACCTGGCAAAACAGGAGCTCAGGTTTAGCCAAAGGACATCTAACAAAGTAACTCCCTGATACACTGGTTCAACATCCCAGGCTCCTAAACCAGGGCAATGCCAGAAGATGGTGCTCTCACAAAGCAACCACTCTCTTGAAGGTATATTCTGGGTGGTCAGGTGGGATCAATTAATAATTTAATTCAACTCAACTTAAATGGCTGACTTTTACGCTCTTCTGACAGACATTCTTTAACCAGAGCTCACCAAAGTTTGCAGCTGAACTCAGCTAGACAAAATTCAAGGAAGGAGGTTGGAGGTGCCATAAAAGGTGACTGGATGCAAGGATGAGAAGTCTCCATTAAATCTGTGTGCACCTATATCTCAGCGCTGTAGTAAAGGCACAGAAAACACACTTTGCCTCTACGATACACCACCCAGTGGAGCTGGTCAGGTTTGCAAAGAGCATGGTTAATTCAAGTTCTCTCTTTTGAATCAGAGTCCACATTACAACATTATAAGCAAATATCCTTCTTTCTGGGGAATTTCATTTGTGCTAGCATCAGGTCATCTTCACGAGAGGACATGAGTAGGCATGAGCTCACTCACTATTACGGAGTTTGTTACTCCTTGACACAGCTGGCTATTAGGGAATGAGGGTAGTGGGCACTAAGAACTGAAAGTGTACCCATCAGAGCTTGAAAATAAAAATATATATAAAAACAAAAAAACCCACACAGTGCCAAAGAACTCTATCATTGGAATGGAAGCCACCAGTTCTTCCCTAAAGGATAACAATTCTACTCAACCAAAATATAATGTACTGTGGTTTAGCCACTGCTCAAACCACCATCTCTTGACACTGATGTTTTATCCACTTATCTCCATTCTGAAAACTATTTAAAGGAAGTCGATGCAGAAGGTGATGCCCAGCATCTCCAGAGGCATTGGAACATAGTGGAGGTTCAGACAGAATGAGGAAATATCAACAGGAGAGAAGTTAGAAGTCAGTTGAGAATTGTTACGTGCAACAACTGCTTGCTTGATGCCCAGCTTGATGTGAAACAGTATTTTTTCTAAAAAAAGTTCACAATCAGTAATAGAAAAGGTAAAAAGCAAAAGAACAAGAATTAGGAATAGAATGCCACGTCTTACTCTGTGACCCCATATGATGCTTTTCATGCACTTTTTCTTAATACAATTAGTACTTTTGAAAATCCTATCCTGACAGCTGGCCTAGCTCTGCTCCCGTTGAAGTTAATGGTAAGACTCCATTACCCTTAGTGGGAGCAGAAATAGCCAATGCTGAGCATTTCTGAAAATGCCATGCTTAATGTTTGATTTGGTTGTAAAACACAAAGTTATGTTCAGAAAGGTAACTTGAAACATTCCAGTATTCCACATAGAAACTGAGCAAATCCAATATTGATTTCGCAAGTAAAATGTAGATTTTCCTAAAAGTGAGCACCGTGAGGTCAATTTAATACCTATACTCCAAAGCTTGTTATTTCATTATTAACCACCATGAACAGTGGCAGAATTCTGCTCAGTGGGTGGACAATGCGTGCAGTAGGCCAAATACAGCTCAAGCTTCTACTTAGGCTCTGTAAACCTGACAGTAGCAAAATAAAGTCTCCAATGTACACTTCATTTCTTGGCTACTAAAATAAAAAACATTTCCCTATCTGCCCATTCAATTAATGTGAGAAGAGGAATTTTCTGATCCTCAGGCCACTTGTCCTCCTCAGACCCAGAGTTTAAAACAAAACAAAACCAAACCTCTACCATCATTTTCATCCTCCGAGTCCCCTTCTATAACATTGGTCTTGCTAGCTAAGACATAACTTTAAGAAAAAGTTTAGGCTGTGAACACTTTCTTTTGAAACTTAGCACATTTCCTTGAAGCTTAAATTAAGCAAGGAGACAGGGCTAGGGTTCAGCTGAAGGGCTACTTAAAATATGGTGCCCTTTACTTAGTGGGGAAAACCACTATGCTGAACATTTATGACCACTTCCTTTTGAAAACACCTTGAAATCCCATAGCCATTGAGGGTATGTCTTCACTGCTGAGTTAGCTCAGGCTGTAGCATGAATGTTGTCCCTGGCTCCCCAACGTTCACACAGAACATCCTTTGTCCCAGGCTTGAGGGTACTTTAAGCCTGCACTAACATATATAGCTGAGGATATAGGCTTGATATAGGGTTTTGCCTCAACCTGGGCTGGCAATCTGCTTACTTTGCAGTGAGGATACAGACTAATCAAGGAGTGCTGACACTCCTTCACTGCCTTCCCACCATTCCACCTGGGTCGTATTTCTTGCCCTCTACCTACTCCCCTCTTTTGCATTGGAACTCACCTACAAGTTTATATGGTGAAATCAGCCTTTAAACCCCATGCAGGCCTACTACATTTCTGCTGTGCTTTCACAGCATTCTCACACAGTCTGAGAAATCCTCTTTCCAATGTGGTGCCAGCTGCCCAGATGCTGACACCAAGGTTCTGATGAACCTCTGGTGTGAGATCACGAAGACCCATGATTTGGAGAGATGTAACCAAGATCAGCTGTTCTAAGAGGAAATCTCCAAGAATTTGACAGCAAAAGAAATTCAGTGGAAGGCCTCTCAATGCAGGGAGAAACATCAAAACTTTGAAGACTGCATATAAGAAGGTCCAGGATCACAACTCCACAACCAGCAAATTGCCTTAAACTTGCCTGTTCTACGAAGAGTTTGATGAGGTTCTCGGCACTGCTGACAGCACTCATCCCACTTTCCTGCTGAACGTACTCCTGGATTAGGAAGAGGAGATAAAAGGACCAGCTACAGCAGGAACCAGGGGCAGAGAACATAGAGTATATGCTGAGCCCCATGCAGTCAACTGCACTGGAGCACATGGAGAACTTTCTTGAGCCATACTCCCAGGATATCTTAAAGAAAGGCTTGGTTGGTGTGCGTGCGCATGGGGGTAGACCAACCTCATTAATGATATTACGTGCCGTGGGTCGGGCTTTGCCTGCCAGGCTTCAGTTGAAGGTGGAAGAAGCTCCATTTGACCTGATCCCCCTTCCTTTCCTTTCCCCACTCCTCACCCATCAAGCCACGTGAAATCAAAGATGGACTCCAAGCAGGGGGGATAAAAATTAAAAATAAACATGATTTCCTGCAGTACCCGCTGCTGCATGCATGCAAAGCAGTCACTATTAGCATAAGCAGAGCAAAGCCCACAAAGGCAGGAACGCAGGCAGCAAAAGCATATGTATTTTGCTGGGTTCTTTTTCTCACACGGACGCTATCATTAAAGCA